CCTGATTTTTCATACCTAGTATTCCATAAATTTTTTGATTGCTTTTATTTTATTAAAAAAAAAGAAGCTTCAGCTTCGCTGAGGATTTATGATAGCTATTTGTGGAACTTTGTATCTGGAGGGTTAAGCTGGGTTCCCAAGGAAGTTGGTATCCTGGTTGATTTAATTGCCTTTGTTTGTCTTGATTTAACAAAACTGACTTGAATGGACTCTTCTCCACAGATGACGACTTTGACCAGTTTGACAAGCCTGGCGCAGAACGGTCCTGGAGAAGAAGAGCTGCAGATGAGGACTGGGACAGGTGTGTGCACACTTGGGCTTCCCTGGGGTATCAGTGTGATGTCTATGATCCTCTGCTGGATACAGAGATCTTTATTTACCAAAGATAGTGAGCGTGGGGGCCCTTTGGTGTCCTCCTACATCAGCCTCCCTGTTGGGCTGATGGGAGGTTTCTTCAGGCCTCACTAGGGCCTGGTCCAAGCTTGTGTTGTAGGTAGCTGTGTGGAACATGAGTTTGCTTTCTCTCTGTTCATTGAATAGCACCACAACCATATGGATGCCACAGAATCTTTTGCTGTATATCCTACCTATCCAGTAGTTATTGAGACTTTAAACTTTTTGCCATTTTAATATGTACTGATTTAATTTCGTTTCTCTAACTAGTTGTGTAAGGTGAACTTACCCGCTTAGTAGTCCACACTTGCACACACAGTGGAAAACAGTTGGTGATGGCTGATGTCAGCTCAGTGTGGCGGGTGCCTCTAAGGGGGAAACTCTGCTTTTAGAGGACTGAAGGTACACAGCCTGGCTGTATCAGGTGCTGAGGTGAATGAACAACAACAAAAAATATACTATGGTCTCATACTGATTTTTTAAGAACAAGTGCCTAAAGAAGTTTACAGAATGGTTTACAGTGGAGTCTTCGATGGTCAACATAAGTTTGATTAGCCTTTCCTGACTTATTCAGTGTATCAGTCAGGATTCTAGAGAAAGGACTGTTAGGGTGTGTGTGAAAGAGATGTATCTTATTTGTATGGATGGAAGGGGGAGTGTTGTTGCTTGTTTCTTTATTCTGACTTTTTTGGCTCTTAGCTCTTTGTTCTTTTGGGGGGTCTGCCACCCAGCTCCCAAATAATTACACAGAGACTTATTGTTACTTATAAATGCCCAGCCTTAGCTTGGCTTGTTTTTCCCTGGCTGTCCTGGAAGTTGATCTTTAGACCAGGTTGGTTGGAACTCAGAGATCTGCTTGCTTCTAACTCCCAAGTGCTAGGATTAAAGGTGTGCGCCACCACTGCCTGGCTTCTTTTCTTACTTCTGTGTATCTTGCTTTCACTCTTAGACCATGGCTGGCTGGGGGCTAGGTGGCTGTCCCTCTTCTCCTTGTTATATTTTGTTCCTTCTCCCTTCTCAAATTTCTTCTCCTGTTTATGCCCTCTTCCTGCCTTTCTCTTGCCTCAATATTGGCTGTTTAGCTCTTTATTAGACCATCAGGTGTTTTAGATAGGCAAAGAATCACAGCTTCATAAGAGTTAAACAAATGTAGCATAAACAAAAGCAACACATCTTTACATCATTAAACAAATATTCCAGAGCATAAATAAATACAACACACCTTAAAATAATATTCTACAACAGGGGAGGTATGTATGTATTACATGGTTTTGACAAAGTTAAGTTTTTAACAGAGTACAGTTGCCTCAAATTGATTACACTAGTTGATATTTACCTTTTTATTCAGACTTTCAGGCACATGTGAAAGTATAATATAGCACATTGAACCTAATGTACTGTCATCCAACTTGAGTGATTATCAGTTTTTATCTGTACAATCTGCAAACCCCTCAAATCAGATGTAGTTTCACCTGAAAACACTTGACTATTTCTTAAAATACAGAGTGTTTACACATAGACCTGCATCAAGTCTAAGAAAGATCCTTGTTTATTCATGCCTAGCTAATGATCAATTTTTCCTATTACCTCTTATGTTTGTATTTGTGCCTGTGTCAGTGTATTCTCATATAGGCAGGTACATGACTACTTTCCTGTGGTTTGAAATTATATTCAGATAAAGGTCTGTATTTTAAAGTGTTGGCTCTTTCTGTTTGTGTTTTCTGTTACTACAGTGAAGTGCTTGGACAGTTAACATAAGTTGTGTGTTTTGGCTCCTAGTTTAGGAGGCTCTAGTTAATGATGGAGTAGCTCATTAGCTTTGGGCTTCTGATGAGGAAACACATCACGGTGGAGGCGTATGCCAAGTAAAACCACTCATACTCTGAACCAGGATCATACCCACGTCTCACCATCCCCTGAGAATCTTCCTGGAACCTCTTACTAGGCCCTGTCTCCCTATTTATACCAGTGCCACCCTGGAGACCATGCCTTTTTTTTCTTCCTTTTTTAAATTTTTTTTTTTTAAATTAGAAACAAGCTTCTTTTACTGTCAATCCCAGTTCTCTCCCTCCCCTCCTCCCCTGTCCCTCACTGACCCCCTATTCCATCCCCTTTCTGCTCCCCAGGGAGGGTGAGGCCTTCCATGGGGGATCCTCAAAGTCTGTCATAGCATTTGGAACAGGGTCTAGACTCTCTACCATGTGTCTAGGCTGAGAGAGTATCCCCCTGTGTGGATTGGGCTCCCAAAGTCCATTTGTGTACTAAGGGTAAATACTGGTGCACTACCAGAGGCCCCATAGATTAACCAGATCTCCAAACTGACATCCTTGTTCAGGGGGTCTGGATCAGTCTTATGCTGGTTTCCCAGCTATCAGTCTGGGGTCCATGAGCTCCCCCTTGTTCAGGTCAGCTGTTTCTGTGGGTTTCACCAGCCTGGTCTTGACCCCTTTGCTCATCATTCCTCTCTGCAACTGATTCTACAGTTCAGCTCAGTGTTTAGCTTTGGGTGTCTCCTTCTGCTTCCATCAGCTACTGGATGAAAGCTCTAGGATGGCATATAAGGTAGTCATCAATCTCATTATCGGAGAAGGGCATTTAAGGTAGCCTCTCCACTATTGCTTATATTGTTAGTTGGGTCAACATTGTAGATCTCTGGACATTTCCTTAGTGCCTGATTTCTCTTTAAACCTATAGTGGCTCCCTCTATGATGGTATCCCTTTTCTTGCTTTCTTCTATTCTTCCCCTAAATGATCTTTCTGCTCTCTCATGTCCTCATCTCCCCTCCTCTTCTCCCCTTCCCTTTCTTCTAACTCCCTCTCCCTTCCTCCCTCCCCATGCTCCCAATTAGCTCAGAAGATCTTGTCCCTTTCCCCTTCTCCAGGGGACCATGTGTCTCTCTTAGGGTCCTCTTTGTTTCCCTGCTTCTCTGGTGGTGTGGATTGTAAGCTACTACTCCTTTGCTCTAGGTCTAAAATCCATATATGAGTGAGTACATACCATGTTTGTCTTTTTTGACTGGGTTACCTCACTCAGGATGGTTTCTTCTAGTTCCATCCTTTGCCTGCAAATTTCAAGATTCCATTGTTTTTTTCTGCTGAGTTGTACTCCATTGTGTAAATGTACCACATCTTCTCCATCCATTCTTCAGTTGAGGGGCATCTAGGCTGCTTCGAGGTTCTGGTTATTACAAATAGTGCTGTGATGAACATCGTTGAACAGATGTCCTTATTGTATGAATGTACTTCTTTTGGGTATATGCCTAAGATTGGAATTGCTGCATCTTGTGGTAGACTGATTCCCATTTTCCCGAGGAACTGCCATTCGGGATTTCCAAAGTGGCTGTATAAGTTGGCACTCCCACAAGCAGTGGAGGAGTGTTCCCCTTTCTCCACATCATCTTCAGCATAAACTGTCATTGTTTTTTTTTTATTTTAGCCATTCTGACAGGAGTAAGATGGTATCTCAGTTGTTTTGATTTGCATTTCTATGATGGCCATGGATTTTGAGCACTTTCTTAAGTGTCTTTCAGCCATTTCAGACTTGTACAGTAGGAACTTTGAGTCTTTAAAGAAAGAAATTAAAGAAGATACCAGAAAATGGAAAGATCTCCCATGCTCTTGGGTAGGTAGAATCAACATAGTAAAAATGGCAAACTTGCCAAAAGTAATCTACAGAGTCAACACAATCCCCATCAAAATCCCAATACAGTTCTTCACAGACCTTGAAAGAACAATACTCAACTTCA